CCCTGTGCCTTTGCCTGGCAGGGTTCTTGGGGAATCACAGGACCAGTCACCAGCCAGTGGATGCCTCCCCGCCAGCTCAGCTATGCCTGCTGCTCTGGCACAGTCTCAGATGCTGTATCTCCACTTAAGTGACCAGCTCTTTTGAGCCTCTTTTCACCAACCTTCCCCAGGAACCAAATACCCCAGGGCCTCTGCTCTCAGACCCCAACTCCAGCAGGCCTCAGCTTTAATCTTATTCTGCACTTTGCATACCGGTTGCATTTTTCATGCATGGAAATGCTTACCCTGTTTTTGATCCTGAATATGGCTTCTCTATTTTCTCTGTATCTATCTTATCTAAAAATAATGTATGTATTTAGAGCAGAAGGAGACCTCCAAGCCTGAACTCTTAACGCTATCTTGCCAGAAAGTCTCCTTTGCTATTTATTCTTTTCATGTGGTACATATTTATCAACCAGCTATTAAACGTGATTCTAGATTTAATTGAAATTTCTTTCTACTTTCTTCTTTTAAATTAAAATCAAGGCTTATAGTCTCTGGTGGTGTTCCAACCACCCACTTGGGCATCGTGCTTATATAGGAGTCATTTATCATTGGAAAATAAACTCCATGCCCTCTCTTGAACCACCCACTAAGCTTCTCTTTTCTCTCACAAGTACTAGTCCACAAATTACAAAGCAGAAATGGCTATCGAGTTATAAGCTGTAACTAAGTTTAGAGTGCTAGTTTCATCCATTTGTCCCGGGTCTCCAGTCTGATTTATCCCTTAGGTAATCTCAGTAGGATGAACATCTAGGAAACACATACACACTTAGGGGTTGGGATGTGTGTATGTGAAGGAAAATAAAAAGGAGAGAGGGAGGGACAGACAGAGTGAAGTAGATGGGGAGAGAGGGAGTGAGAAAGAGACTGAGGAAGAGATGGGAGAAAGGGGATGGGGAACAGCATCCTTACTGCTTAGGAAACAGTTCAGTCCTGTACAAGTATACATCTTTCAAGTCACTAATAATTTACTACTTATCTCCTAGATATTTTTGGTTCCGTTTCCAGATAAAAATTATTTTCTCAGAAACTAGGACTTAATGACTATTTAATATCTCCACCTCTTTTATCTCCTCTTCAACTTCCTTATTTTTTGTTTTTTTTCCTTTGATCTAGACAATATCAATTGGTTACACATTTGCCCTCATATGCTCTCCACAATATATTGGGGAGCACCTCTGCTCTCTTATATACCATTTCCTGAGGTTTTTGTGATGAAAGAGTTATCCTTCTTAATCCTTGGATCAATAGAGGTTACACATTTCACAAGCCAAATGAACAAAGTAATCAACTTCCCCAAATTACATTGCCTGATAGATCAAAGAGAAAAAGGAAACTTTCCATCGATCTTTCTACCATGTTCCATGAAAGCCTGACATTTGTCCACCCCTGGAGGTTAATCACTATTCTCTCCAAATAAATTTCTGCCAAGCAATACGTTTTAACTTATGTTGTTTTCCCTTCTTTTAGATTTTTGCTTCCCTTAAAGTTTACAATTTTTTAAAGTATGAGAGTAATGGGATTAAATGGTTGTATGTTAATCGTATCCTTACTAAAAAATTGTAATGGTAAAAATTAGGTAACTTAAGAAAATTTATTCTGCAATCTTTTTGCAGGACTAGTTTGGGGAAATGTTCTAAATTCCACCAGTCAATTGTACATATTTTCCTGTCATCACTGTAATAATTGCTTGTTTACTCAATGACCAATTCACCTTGTTGGTTTTAGTAACAAATAGAATTTAATACACAATTATCTACAGAATTTCTCCCAAGTTTTGGAAGATATATCAAAGAGGTAAGAAAATAGAAACCTTGATCACTGGGTACGTTTTATCTCAGAATTCATCTTCAGCACCTCCATAATTCTACATAATTCCAGATAAAATAGGCATATGAATAACATATGACACTATGGATTATTGGATACTACAATGAAGGGAGAGCATCTGGAGAACACAAGAAGTACAAAACAGAAAGACTGACTCATACAGCCAGTGGGCAGATTCCAAGGGAAGTGGTCCCAAGGAGGCGCTGCCCACTGGATTCCACTGCACGTGAAGTTTGAGAAGGAGACTAGCATGTGGGAATTCTATTAGGTAGTGCTTTGGGATGGAGACCTGTGGAGGGAAGGGAATGAAGCAGAAATAGGTGGCGGGAGAAAAGTTGAGATGCAGTAGAGTCTCAATGGAGGCTTCAAACAATTCTGCAGGGAGATCTGATGATGATCTTTCAGAGTTTTCCAAGTTGGCATGAGGGGACTGGACTTTAAAATCCCTGGTCAACCAGTCATGGCATCTGTAAAACCCCAGGAAGGGGTGTGACTTTGGGTAAAGTGCCTTTTTTCCACTTGGGAAATTCCTGAAGAGGAATTATAGCTACTGTCTTCTAGCAGATTCTAAATAACTGAGGGAGTAACTCCTCCGGTTATAAAGGTCTTGAATGGCACATGACAGCATCCACTGCAGGTGGTGTTTGAAGTGAACTTGCTGAAACTTAAAGGGGAAGAAATACTTTCCCAATTTTATTGGAACATGCCACACTCTCGTTTATATAATGTCTGTGGCTGCTGCATGCTGCAAGAGCAAAATTTAATATTAGTTCTAACAGAGGTAGTATGGCCTGCAACGTCTAAAGTAGTATTAAACCCGTTTCGGGAAGAGTTTGCTGAGCCTTGATCTAGGGTTTACTACCTTCAAGTAATATTATACCCCCTCTTATGTAATATAAGGAACTTGCTCAGTACCTGTATTTTCCTTGCCTCCTATCCTATGTGTTATTGTAGTCATATATTTTTCTTCATCTGTTATAAACCCTCTAATTCATTGTTACTGCTTTGTTTTAAACACTGAATAATCTTCTAAAGGAATTTAAAAACATGAACACATATTTTATATTTACTGACATGTTTACCATGCTCAGGATCCATTTCTTTGTACAGATATGAATGTCAAAATGGTAAATTTTCTTGAAACTCAAAAATGTACATTTCTTATAGTACCTACCTATTGGTGATAAATTCTCTCACCTTTTGTCCTCAATATCCTTATGTTACTTTCATGTTGAAAGGATATTTTTGCTGGATATAGAATTTGAAGTTGACAGCTTTCTATTTCTTTCCTTTTGATCTCATCAGATACATTGTTCCATTATCTTCAGTTTGCATTGTTTTTGCTAAGATATTATTGCCCTGTGGCTACTTTTAAGATGTTTCTCCTTATCATTGATTTTTACCAATTGATTATGACAAACATTGGTGATTCTTCTTTGTATTTATCCTGCTTGGGGTTCAGTGAATTTCACAGCTATCTGGGTTTATATTTTTCAACCGTTATTTCTTCAAATTAATTTTTTTCTGCTTAGTACTGCTCTTATCATTTTTCTCTGCTTTTAGTACTCCAGTGTGTAACCTAGAACACTTATCATCCTACAGACTACTGGAGTACTATTTATTTTTAAGCCCCCTTTCCCTCTGAGCTTCAACCTGAATTGTTAATATGGCCCTGTGTTCTGTACACTAATGTTTTCTTCTCTTTTCTAATCCGCTACTGAGCCCATTCATTAAACGTTTTATTTCAGATGCAAGTTTTAGTTCAAAAACTTCCTTTTTGTTCTCTCATTTCTTTTCTTCATTAAGATTTCATGTTTATTCCTTCAATATTTATATACTGTTTCTCAAACAATGGAACTAATTTATAATCTGTTTTAAAGTCCCAGTCTGCCAATGTCTTCATCTCTGTCACTTTGAAGTCTGCTTCTATTGACTGACTTCTCCCTGGTTATGCATGACATTTTCCTGCTTCCCCATATGTCTAGTATTTTTTTTTAATTTATACTGGACTTTATGGGTTCTATGTTGTAGAGTTCCTAAATTTTCATGGCCTTCCTTTAATACAGTATTGACTTTTGTTTGAGCAAGGAGTTTATTTGTGGATCAGATTGATATTTTTCAGGCTTGTTACCAACCTTTGTTCAGAGGTGTCCAGAGTAGCCCTTATGTTAGGACTGAGTTATTCTAATCCCTTCCTGAGGTTGCTGCTGAATGCCTGAAGTTATTCAGCACGTTCTTTCAATCTTGTCTAGTCTGAAATCCCAGCACTCCCAGCCCTGTGCATCCTCTGGTTGGTGTTCGCTTCAGAACTTTCCTCATCTGGTCTTAGCATTCATTCAGAGGCTTGGCTCCAGAAGATTCACTGGTGAGCCTGTGCAGATGTCCAGAGCTCTTTGCACAGCTGTCTCCTCTCAGAAATTCCATCCTACCAATTACAGCTTCTTTAGGAACTTTGATCCTGGTCTATCTGTCCCCATCTCAGGGATGCTGTTCTCCTGTGTTTGGGATCGTCTTCCATGTGCCATGACCCAGCAAGTGAATCAGGCAGAAAGCCAGGAAGTTCTCAGCGCTTACCTCATTAGTTTATTCTCCCTCATAGATCAGGGCCTTGCATTGTCTGTTGTCTAACCCCTAAAAAGAGTAATTTATACATTTTATCAGTTTTGTAATTTTTTTTATGGCGGGAAAGTTATTCTATCATAGCTGAAAGCAGAAACAAACCATATAAATATCATTAAATGAATGATAAATATGTGATTTACAAAATGATTTCTATTATCATAATCATAGAATAAGTTATTTTATTGCCAGGCTTTAAATTCCTTTTTTGAAAGTGATGCATATATTTGAAATACTGTATGTTGTAGAATTTATTGAGTATTTTTCTATTATTTACTCCAATTTGTAGCCAAACTCACTTAAAAAATTATATTGCATCAGTGCTAAGCATTATGCCATATTTTCTGTATTTAGTTCATCCATAATCATCTAACATAGTACTATAATTGAGTATTTTTGTTCTATATTAGTGCTGTTTTTATAATAACATCTTTGCATTCTATTGCCAACCATTATATTTTACCCAAACAAGTTTTTCTTTATTAATAATTCAAATTATTTTCCTAGAAATGTGGTTATCACAGGACATTGGTTGTATATTTCTTATATTAGTAAGCACATTGTCTGATTGACTATATACATTAGTTTTCATGAGTATAAGGGCTTAAAATAAGAACAGGCCTCATCTTAAGAAGTGCTAGTATTCTTTGAATTCTGAAATTTTAAGGCAAAATATATTTTAGGATTTTATATAATTGCTTTTTGTTTCATTTATAATCTACTAAAATGTAAAACTTTACATGACAAATTAATAGGTTGTCATGTTTTTTTTTTCTAGTGATTTTTAGTTGAAAAATTCATGGTAAATTGGTCAACCCTCAGCCAATTAGACTTTGACATGTACTAATAAGATCTAATTGAGAAATTATGAAGACATTTGCTCAGGAGAAAATGAGCACATAATTACACCATAAAGAGGTTAGAGCATCAATGTTACCCAGCTGGAAGAATATTAGTTGAAGTCTCAATGGCATCTATAAAGGACAGTTCATAATGTATCTGTGAAATGTAACACTACCAAGGCCAATTAAAAGATGTAGAATACTCCATTATCAGTTGTACAAGTTTAGACTTAAATACCATTTTTTCCTCTCTTGCGTTTACCTTCTTCAGGTGCTGGGGGATGGTCCCCATCTGACAGTGACCATTACCAATGGCTTCAGGTTGACTTTGGCAATCGGAAGCAGATCCGTGCCGTTGCAACCCAAGGGAGGTACAGTAGCTCGGACTGGGTCACCCAGTACCGCATGCTCTACAGCGACACTGGGAGGAACTGGAAACCCTATCATCAAGATGGAAACATCTGGGTGAGTCACTGTCAGAAAGGCAGATACTGAACTTTGGCCCAGCCCAGCCCTGGCGCAGCCTGGGGCAAGGGAGAGTGAGGGCTTGGGTGCGGCTGGCTGGAGGGTGATCTTGCTGTTTGGTTTCTTGTCTTTGTGTTTGTGTCCTCTGAGAGCAAAGAGGTAAGAGCAACGCAACAGGTGGTGGGAAAAGGGATGCAAACACTGGCCTGTACACTGCCCCGCCGTGTGCCTTTTCTTAGTGTAAAACGCTTACCTTGCAAAGTGAACGTGGCCCCTTCCCCAACCTCTTACGTATTTCACAGAAAATTAAAATCTCCTAATAAAACTACTGAAACCTGAAAAAAGGAAAGGATTAAGTAAATACTTTAATGATGATAGAATACTAGAACTTCTTTAAATACAACATTTCAAGTTACTATATGTCTTTTGTCTGGAGTATAGACCCAAAATAGGAGAAACTGTACCCAAATATTGCACCATGAATTAAGCAAATAGAATGGGAAAAAAAAAATCTCCTGATATGGTTTCCATGCCTTTATTTAAACTCTTTATTTAAAGCAGAAAGTACACTCTCAAAGAAAGGCCAGTGTGGGCAGCCTCCAAGGAGGTACACTTAAGGGCTTAGGATTCTGTCTTTTAAGGCTTTCAAGAAGGGGGCCAGGGGGAGGGTGGGGTTGTATTGACATGTAGTCTCATGGTGTCTTTCTCCAGTGAGAGACATTATGCAGTCAGTCCTCTAGATAATTCTGTAAAATAAACTTAACACAAGGAATTTATTGATCCTATTCTTTTCCAAGATAGTGGTTTCCCTGAAGCACTGGGAACATGTCAGTTAGGACTGCTTGCCCTGCATTGAGATAGGTTGTTGGTTGAGTAACAAAGTATATGTTAACAGTCTTACCTCCTAAGTCCCTGGTTTTAAAAATGGAATCTTAACTGTAAGATGGAATCCCTCTGTTCTTACTATGCTGGTTGTATCTTGGCAAGTCTCTTCATAGGCAGGAAAATTTAATCATGATGCTTGTCGCATGTCCCTGCCCCACCTCAGTTGAGTCAGAGAAATAAGACCGTGCAGTGAAAATATCACAAAGTGTGAAGGTTGACTACATTCACATGCTGACCTCTCAGTCTTTTCTGATGGTGAAAGAGTGCATTTCTATTGTTTTCTGCCTCTCTGGTGTCCATTTTGTTTCGTCCTTTCAAATCCTATATTTTTCATTAAAAGTAAGTATGTGATGAGTGATGAGTAGTTATTTCTAGATGAAACTATAGTGAACCAATTATGAAACTTAAAAAATCAAAACAAGTTTGACACAAACTAAATATTGCAAAATATTTTTAAGTCCTAATGAGCCTGCAACATAATGATTATGTTACTTTAATAATCTATGACAAATGTTTTAATACCTGTTAATGTGAAAAATAGTCCATTGCATTGAAGCATTCCAAAAGAATGTGAAAAATAGTCCATTGCATTGAAGCATTCCAAAAGAAAGAAAAGTCATTGTTTTCTAAAAATTCTTGACTGCTTTAGAGCTTATACCTCACCATGCATTAAGTGAGTTAGCATTTACAAATTTCAACAAAAAAAATGCATTTTGTGCTTAATCAAATATTAGATTTTCTTTTAATCCAACTACTGCTTAACATAATATATATTGCCCTTGAATAAAAGAGATTTTTGACATAGGTAAGACTGAATGTTTTTTTGGTGGACAACATCCTATGCAATGTAAAGTTTCAGATAGTCAAAAAAATGTTTTAATTGGTACAGTTTAGAAGTTGCTTTTCCTATCCATTCCCAAAATGATTGATTACCTGAGTAGAATGTAGAGTAATATAAATTCAGTCACTTGACTATTGTTTTTAACAAATGCCTATGGCTATTCTTTTCTATAACTGTAGGCAAAATAGGCAACATGATTAATTTCATTATGATAATCTTCTTAAATACCCCAATGGGGATTCTGAGTTATTTTATGAACATTGGATAATACGTTAAAATAAGTGAATAAGATGAAAAATTGTGACAGTTTCATAAGAATTTAAAGTCATGAATCTCACTTTGGAATCTATGAAATGAGAATGCTCTTGAAAAATATTCCTAAAGAATGGTTTATCTGAATATTTGAACACTCAGATATGTGAATTGCTAAATGTATTAAAGTAGTCAAACCTTCTCATTCCTCTTTGATTATACTAAGCATAATAAAAATTTTTATACTTTATCCACAATGCCATATCCTTCCATTTAGAATTTTCTTTCCAATGTAAATATGCAGATTGGTAAAATTGCTAAAAAATGAAATCATTACATTTACATATTTTACAAACTTTAATTTGCATGCTTCCATGGAGATATTTTCAGGTTTGCTAAGTATTTCTTATAAAAGTCCACTCAACATTAAATTATAAAAGAATTCCAGCAGATTTTTGCTAAAGAGACTGCATCTAGTTTTGTTCTGAAATTCAACTCCCGGTTTTAAATATGGATATTTGGAGCGCAAATAAGTAATTAGTGTATTAATACTCACTGACTTTTGTACATATCACTGTTGTTTTGCTACTATAACAAAGTACCAATTTTCCTGTAGTGTGAACATAATTTTCTTTTTAAAATTTTTTTATTAAATGATGAGAAAATGCTTATATATTCCTCATTAGTTTTTCAAACAGTTTTGATCCCTTTTGTTAGTGGTAGGTAGGTATCAGACTGGGGTCAGTCACCACTGAATGTGTTGGATGGAGAATCCCACAAAACAGAAATGTTTTATTATGTTTAAATTTTATGGTCAGATATTTACCAAGAATATAGGAATATGTAAATTCATATTCTGTAAGCAATAGCAAATAGAGTAGTAATTTGAGAGATGTGCTAAAAACCTGGATCTCTTTGTTTCTTACACTTTTCCCACACACATGTGCGCACACACCAAACTTCGTTGTTTGCAATAAATTTGAAACACTTAAAAATCTGGAAAGCAAATATTAGTTCACAGATTAATTTATTACATTCTGTAATTTTCTGAATATCAAGTCAAAGGCCGAAACAGGTATTTTCTTTCTTTTGAACCAAATATCCCATCAACCTGTGTTTATGTAATAAAAGTTCCCAAAACATCTTCCTAGATTAGTCTGTAAAGAGGTATTTGGCAAGTGAAAGCCATTCAAAAGATCTGAATTCAAGTATCTAGGTTCATGTATTTGTTTTTTAAACTTGGAGAAGTCAGTGTGTCTATGCCTCAGATTCTTTATCTGAGAAATGGGAATAATGCCTACAGGGAGATTTAAATGAGATGATATAAGTAAAGAACTTTTGCAAGCTATAAAGATTTAGAATCATGTGTTATCAAAGACCTAGCTGCCTTAGAAGTGTTCTGCAAAACAAGTGTAGGATTTCTTTTCAGTGACAATAGTCTGCTATGAAATTGTTCAAAATTTTTAGTCCCCTCTATCCTTTCCAGACCCAATCTATCTCTGTTTACTTTTATTCATATTTTAAAATATCTGCAAATATTTTAAACGAAGGAAATGTGATTTAAAATCGGACTTGGAAAGCAGGTTAATCTCTGGTGTATTTTCAAGTGAACAAATGGAGTAGCCTTTGGTTGAGCATACAGTGAGGGCTGGGTTTGTAAGGCATGGCTGGTAGATCATCTCCACGCCAAGTGCCATGGCAGGGCCAGGAACAAATTATTTGTTATCATGATGATGGCCATATGTCCAATGAGCCATGTAAGGGGATGTGGTTTAAAACTCAATGGCTTCTTCTGTCCTACCTTTCCAAGCATTTGTTGCAGTGGTTGCACTGATTTTCCAAATCACTTAAAAAACCGTTCCAAATATGTAAAACATGACATCACTGACAGTTCAATGGTATAGACTCTTTCAGACAGATCTAGAATGTTTTTCTGCACATGAAACTGAAGAGGACCATTATCCCTGTTGCTTGCTCACGTATCTTCCATCAGATGGTAACATCTTCTTATTCGCTGAGGATGCTAATGCAGTTTTTTCTGCAGATAGGTGTGAATTTCCCTTGCTTGTTTATGCACACACATGCACTGTGGCTGCAGTCATTTAGGGGAAGGACTAGGAAGGCATGTGCAAAATCATTTTACAGTTAACTTACTGAGAAACAAACTGCATCAGAGATATCTATATTAAACCCTCTCCAAAATGACCCTGATATATGGGGTAAAAATTTTTAGACCTGTATAGATGAAAATAATTTCCAGAGTTAATTGTAATATGCTTCTTATTTCTGTGAAATAGATTTTTTCTGTTTATACCCCTCTTTGGCTGGGTGATATTTTTAAAGTCTCATGAATTTTAATAAGTTGAGTGGATAGTCCAGATCCTTTTGCATACACTATAATGCCTTTACTAGTGGATTTTGATCACATTTCTAAATATATTATTTGTATTATGAGATTCTCATTTTGAGAGGTCATGAGATTTTGTCTTGTGTCAATTTGTGAGTCACTCAATATTCTATACGTGCACACATATATAGAACAATGTTAGCAAACATGTTTATGTGTTCAATTTTTTCTCAGACATTGGGAAGATTAAAGTAAGTTGTTATTAATAATAGTGAATATATTGTTGACATACACTGTTGTTTAAAGGAAAAAAATGCTATATTCTTATGTGATAAGGTTTTTCTTACAGGCAATGAAATAACAGTATATAATTCTCCACAGCTTAGTGTACTTTTCATCCTTGAGGTAAAATAGGGTATATGTAATCATTGTTCTAAAATTTTAAAGTATATTTGATTGTTTGGGGAGCTTTCTGAAGGAGAAAGTTTTTTCATTAAGCACAATGGTATTCTCAGGTGTTTTATTTTATTCGGGCCTCAAATAATAGAGATGCCTATAATTCTCTTACCAGACCAAGGCTGGATTTAGGCGACCTGAGACTAAATGACTCTAAGTGAATATAAATTTACATAGTGTTGATAGATAGGTATCTACAGATATTTTGAATAAAATATC